TTTATTCCTGTGATCAAAGCTGAATTTTCAGCATCATTACTCCAGTCTTCAGTGTCACATGACCCTTCAGAAATCATACTAATATGCTGATTTACTGCTCATATATCATCTGTTAAGTAATGTGACAGGGTTATCCTGTTGGTTATATCAGTAATAAGCAGTGTTAGGGGTAACGCATTACAAGTAACGCGAGTTACGTAATCATATTACTTTTTTCAAGTAACTAGTAAAGTAACGCATTACTTTTTAATTTACAAGAGAATATCTGAGTTACTTTTAAACACGCACTTTTCTTTCCCGCTGCGGCTCGACATGACGCCGTACACCGAGGACTTCCTCATGGCCAAAGGAGACAGGAAGGAAGGTAGAGCGATTTTTTTTTTTTTTCTTCTGCTGAAACTCTGTTTTTAAATCACATTTGTCTTCTCCGGTCAGCTAATCGTGATCTCATATGCAGGTTTCCGTGACGACAGTGATTCCAAAGTGGCAGAGAGTTATGAGTATGACCTCATCGGTGTGACGGTGCACACGGGCACGGCGGACGATGTGTTTGTGATTGTCATTTTCTGTTGCAGGTATCTGTTTAACGACGCTGAGGTGAAGCCGTTTGATTCGGCCCAGCTGGCCTCAGAGTGTTTTGGTGGAGAGATGACAGTAGGTTTTTTGATATTTTTGCCACCAGATCAAGTCCTCCAATAAACGTTTAGGGATACATACCTGCAAACTAGTCGCTTTTCGGCGAAATTCGCCATTTTGAATCAAAATAGGTAATTTATATGAATCGTCTAGATCCAATATTGACTGTTTTTTCTCAAGTTCACTGACAAAGTTTCAATCAAAGCCACAGCAGAATTGTTTTGTGTCTCCGAGCAACACAGCGGTGTTTCGATACTGAATGAATCCACGTTTTTGAACAAATCAAGTGAGTCAATGATTCAGTAACCCATGTGCACTGTCCAAAAAGTTTGTGGTATAAATGTGCTTTTTTTTTTACTTGAAGCATATGTTGTCTTTTTCCTTTATTTCGTTGTCAGAGTGCACCAGAACGCTTCATTTACATGATAAATTCTCAAAAATGTTCTTATGGGGGGATGCCCCCAGACCCCTCGATAAGAGTCATAATCAGAACTATGTCACCTTTTTGACCTCTTGTGAGTTTGCAGGTATGAGGATAAACTAATATAAATCAAATCTTGTTAATGTTGTTTTAATTCAAAAATGCTCGTCTCATTTTAGACAAAAACATATGACTCTGTCACAGACAAGTTCATGGATTTCTCCTTTGAAAAGGTTGGTTTTGCGATAACAATGATAATTATTATAAAACAACAGAATAATAATATAAATATAATTTGATATTGATTATTATTATCATTTTATTTTACATATGATTTGTAATTATAGTAAAAGTAATGAATTTTTTGTACATTAATATTTTATGTAATTTGGTATTTATATATTGATTATATATTGAAAATATAATAATTATTATTATTTAAATGATAAGTCTTGCTTGAGATTTTGAAATCCTCAGAAATAACGAAAGTAACGTGTGATTTGTCTGTCTGCAGACCCACAGTGCCTACATGCTGTTCTATAAGAGAGTGGAGGTGGAGGAAGAGAATGAGAAGGACTTGAACTTTGACATTTCTCCTGACCTTCTGGAGGTACAGACCTCTCACCGTCAGTCTTCACTGCACACTTCTGAGCATTTCACTGACGCTTCATCTCTCTCTGTCTCTCTCGTAGTGGATCTGGCACGACAACATGCAGTTTCTCCAGGACAAGAACATCTTTGAACACACATACTTCGGGTAAGAGAACAGTCACAAACCTATGTACAAGGATGTCTTTGATAACTCTTTAATTATTTTTTCTTTTCTTTTTATTCATTATTTCTATTTATGTATGGTGATATACGTATAATATGTCTATGTAATTTTTCTCTCCTCATTCTACTCTCTGTGTTATTTTGTCTTATTTTCTGTTCTCTTTCTTTACTTCTATTTTATTTGTCAATGTAAAACTAATTTTATTTCTAAATATATTTATATGATCTGTCCTCTCGTTCTCTTCTCTGTTCTTTTTCATTCCTTTCTTTTGTTGTTTCTCTGTAGTTTTATGTGGCAGCTGTGCAGCAGTATTCCCAGCACTTTAGTGGATCCTAAATCCGTGTCGCTCATGACGGCTAAGGTGAGTCTGGCCACATGAACAGCACCACACTAACTGATGAAGTGGCATCTTTCAGATGAGTTACTGTCCACGGGGAAATAGGGAGGTTCATAATTCGAGTCGTTTTCCACTCTTTCTCTCACAGCTCAGCACATCGTTTGTTCTGGAGACATTCATCCACTCCAAAGAAAAGGTGAGATGGACTTTACTTTTCATCTGTTGTTTTTCTATTGTTCTTCTATAGTAATTTACTGGAGAGTCCTGATGACATTTTCTGTAGTGTTCAATAATTGTTTTTTTGTTCTTGTAAGTTGACATTTCATTCTTTTTTTTCTCTCAGCCCACAATGCTGCAGTGGATTGAACTCTTGACCAAACAGTTTAACAATAGCCAAGCTGCCTGCGAGGTAACACACACACACACACACACTAGTTTCCATGTTTTATGGGAACATTCCATAGACGTAGCGGTTTTTATACTGTACAAACTTTATTTTCTATCCCCTTACCCTAAGCCTACACCTAAAACTTTGTTTGATTTATAAGCTGTTTCCTTCATGGGGACCAAAAAAAATCTCCACAAGGCACACACACTCACACTTTACATGCAGCTTCTTGTTTCCACGGATCTTCTGCTCTGTAAAATCACTTTTGAGCCAAATGAATGGAGAGAGTTGATGATATCAGCAGTGTTGTTGGGTAATGCTGTTTTGGAGATCAGTGTGTCTGTGTCTTTGTGTGCGCAGTGGTTTTTGGATCAGATGGCAGATGATAACTGGTGGCCAATGCAGATTCTCATCAAGTGTCCCAATCAGATTGTACGTCAGGTGAGTGTCACATAAACATCTTTATTTAAAGATTTTTCTTAAATGAAGATTATCTTTATTAACAGACAAACCCATACCCTTCCTCTATAAGAAAACATTTGCATTGAAAAAAATAGTTAATGTGCTTCTGAATGTGCTGCTGTGATGTTCCAGATGTTTCAGAGGTTGTGTATTCACGTGATCCAGCGCCTCAGACCGGTCCACGCTCACCTGTACCTGCAGCCGGGCATGGAGGACGGGTGTGTGATGCGTCCCTTTTTGTCTTCCTCTGATGCCAGATAACCATCCTGTCCTCATATCTGCAAATACATATGCTGTGATCCTGCGAAATTCTTCTAGAAAAGTTCTCATTTCTGTTGGTCTGCCTGCAGATCTGATGATATGGACGGGCCGGTGGAGGACATCGGCAGCCGCTCCTGTGTGACGCGGTTCGTCAAAACGCTGCTGTCAATCATGGAGCACGGAGTGAAGCCGCACAGCAAACATCTGACCGAATACTTTGCCTTTCTATACGAGTTTGCCAAAATGGGAGAAGAGGAGGTAACGACTATTCATCTATTTATTTATTTAAGCACTTATTTGTTTACTTATTTGTTTTTACTTTATTCATCTACCTACTTATTTTACTTATTTCTATTTATTTTACTTTTTGTTTTATTTAATTGTATTTATTTTATTTATTTACTTATTTATTTTGCATGTTTTTTACCTACTTATTTAACTTATGTATTTACTTATTTAATTTCACTTAGTTATTTGTTTATTATTTATTTATTAAAAATTTGACCATTTTTAATGTATATTCTTTATTTTCTTCTTTTAATATTTGTTTTTCTTTTTGTCTTCACAGAGTCAGTTCCTCTTATCTTTGCAAGCCATTTCTATAATGGTGCATTTCTACATAGGCACTAAAGGACCTGAAAATGTGAGTGGCATCTCATCAAGGCTTGATCTTCTCTGATTCAGGATTTTCTTGATCTCAGATCATAACGTCCATCTCTCTGTCTCTCAGCCTCAGGTGGAGGTGTTATCTGAGGAGGAGGAGGGTGAGGAGGATGAAGAGGAGGACATCCTCTCACTGGCGGAGGAGAAGTACAGGCCGGCCGCTCTGGAGAAGATGATCGCTCTCATAGCTCTGCTGGTGGAGCAGTCCAGATCTGAGAGGTGCACACTGAAGAATTGAGTTTAAGCTCACAAAGCATATCATATTTCACCCCAAATGGATCATATTTCACCTTCGAATTCTTTCAAAGAAAATGAAACCTATTTTAGGGCTGTTAAAGATGTTGAAATTAATTTCAGAAGCATCACCAAACAGAGTTGCCCCATCGGCCATTTTTACTGCAATAGAGTAGTAATCTCTGACCATTTGTCTCTGTCTATAGACACTTGACTCTGTCTCAGAGTGACATGGCTGCGCTGACCGGAGGAAAAGGTTTCCCCTTCCTGTTCCAACACATCCGAGACAGCATCAACATCAGACAGACTTGCAACCTCATCTTCAGCCTCTGCAGATACAACAACCGCCTGGCAGAACACGTAAGATCTCCAGAACGCTTACCGTTCTGACATACCACGCACTTCGTGTTTTTATAGAAAGCTAATTGTAACCGCTACATGTTTGTAACATAAACCCTACTTCTTAGCATTCAGACATTTGCTTTTGAAAGTTTCTTCTGCTCACCGAGGCTGAATTTATTTGATCAAAAATACAGTAAAAAGAGAAAACAAATATTGAGAAATTACAATTTAAAACAGCTGTTCTCCTTTTGAGTATATTGTAAAATGTAATTTATTGCTGTGATCAAAGCTGAATTTTCAGCATCATTACTCCAGTCTTCAGTGTCATATGATCCTTCAGAAATCATTCTGATATGCTGATTTGCTGTTTACGTTTCTGATTATTATAAATGTATCAATGCATTTATTCGAAATAGAAATCTTTTGTGACATTATAAATGTCTTTACTGTCACTCTTGATCAATTTAATGCATCCTTGCTGAATTTCTTTAAAAAAAATCTCGTTGACCCCAAATGTTTGAACAGTAGTAGTGTAGCTTAGTTCTTGGGACAGTCTTTTTCCTTAAAGTATATCTATGCATGCAAACAATTGTATCAATCTGTAACATAACATCTCATGGTTTGTGTTCTTGTGCTGGTATAGATCGTGTCAATGCTGTTCACCTCCATCGCTAAACTGACTCCAGAGGTAAGAACAGCTCTCAGTACTATTGTTGTTTTAGTATTTTATTCTTACACACCCTAACTAACATTTTGCGTTTGTCTGACAGGCGGCAAATCCGTTCTTCAAGCTGCTGACGATGCTGATGGAGTTTGCTGCTGGTCCTCCGGGAATGCCCTCGTTTGCGTCCTACATCCTGCAGAGGATCTGGGAGGTAAATCTGTCCACACACAGTCCCATCACTCTTTCGCTTTCTCTCTTCTCCACTGGATCAGTACTTTACGTCAGAGTCTTGTGTCTATGTTGAAGACCTGCCTCTGCCTCACTGATCTGAGCGTCTGATCTCTGTCTGTCAGGTGATCGAGTATAACCCGTCTCAGTGTTTGGACTGGTTGGCCGTTCAGACTCCGCGTAATAAGCTGGCTCACAGCTGGGTCCTGCAGAACATGGAGAACTGGGTGGAGAGGTTTCTGCTGGCGCACAACTACCCACGAGTCCGAACATGTGAGAACACACAATCCAATACACACCAGTACACACACATTATATATATATATATATATATATATATATATATATATATATAATGAAAAGTTAATGAATTTTAATTGTAAATAATAAATAATGTATTTTAAATAGTAAAAATATATTTTGAATAGTAAAAATACATGTAAATAAATGTATACTACATCTATTCAGCAAGTTAAATTGATTAAAAGTGACAGTACAGTCATTTATAACATTACAAAAGATTTCAATTTCAAATGAATGCTGTTCTTTTTGTACTTTCTATTTATCAAAGAATCCTGAAAAAAGTATCCACATTTCTACAAAAATATGAAGCAGCACAACTATTTTTAATATTATTAATAATCAGAAATGTTTCCCGAGCAGCAAGTCAGCATATTTTCATGATTTCTGAAGGATCATGTGACACTGAAGACTGGAGTAATGATGCTGAAAATTCAGCTTTGCATCACAGGAATAAATTACATTTTAAAATATGTTACAGTAGAAAACTGTTATTTAAAATTTGAATAATATTTCATAATATTACTGTTTTTACTGTATTTTTGATCAAAAAGCCTTGGTGAGCAAAAGAGAATTCTTTTAAAATCACTACAAAATCTTTAACCAATGTTATTTTAGAATTATTGATATACTATTATAGTTTTTGTTTATATTTATATTTTCTGTTTTCATTTTTAGTTTTAAACTTTTTGTAATTTTATCGTGTTGACATTTGTATTTGTTTATTTTCCTTCAAATATGACTGTATAGTTTTTAAGTTTGTTTTAGTTATTTTAATACTTCAACTAAAGCTAAATGAAAATGAGAACTGTTGCCTTGACAACTAGCAGTAATAAAATAGTAATTTTATTTATTATAGTATGAATTTTATTTAGTACTGTATTTATTATATTCATTATAGTAATTTAAGTTTTTATATTTTATAACCAAGTAAGTAACTAAAATGTTTTTTTTTCCAGGTTTTAGTTTCTGCCCCAGACTTTTAGTAGTAGAATAGTAGTGTATATATGAATACACATTATAAGACCATCAAGAACTACACACATGCTTAAAAATATCTGAATGTTCCTTAAATAACATTTTATGCATCCACACAAACATCTACAAAATGGATAGCTTGTCTTATTTTTATAATAATCTATTTTTGCTTGATAAAATGTCAGATTTGACATTATTTTGTGACATATGTAATGCATTTCTCTCTCAGCGGCGGCGTATCTGCTGGTGTCTCTCATCCCTAGCAACTCCTTCCGTCAGATGTTCCGCTCCACGCGCTCTCTTCACATCCCCACGCGGGACCTCCCACTGAGTCCCGACACCACCGTGGTTCTGCACCAGGTCTACAATCTGCTCCTGGGCCTGCTGGGCCGGGCCAAGCTCTACGTGGACGTGCCGGTGCACGGGACCACCAAACTGGTGCAGTACTTCAGCTTCATGACCTACTGCCTCATCTCCAAAACCGAGAAGCTCATGTTCTCCAGCTACTTCATGGACCTCTGGAACCTCTTCCAGGTACTTCACGTGCAGATGAAAGCATGTCTAGGTGCTCATATGATATTTGTGACCCTGGAGCACAAAACCAGTCTTAAGTCGCTGGGGTATATTTGTAGCAATAGCCAAAAATACATTGTATGGGTCAATGGACTGCAGCGAGAACGTGCGTCTCATCGTCCAAAACCCTGTCGTCACTAAAAACATCGCCTTCAACTACATCCTAGCCGATCACGACGATCAGGAGGTGGTGCTGTTCAACCGCGGGATGCTTCCGGCGTACTACGCCATCCTGCGCATGTGCTGCGAGCAGTCGCCCGCCTTCACCCGCCAGCTGGCGTCTCACCAGAACATACAGTGGGCCTTCAAAAACCTCACGCCCCACGCCAGCCAGTACCCAGGGGTGAGTACAGCGCCTACAGTCCTTCACTTTAGCAGTTTCTGAACCGGTTACCAAAGTTATTACAAGACATATGAGCAAACGTGTTTTTTTCTTTAATTTATGGCATAGTTTATCAGTAACTATGGCACCATTAAAAAAAAAAAAGCTTTAATTTATGGCATAGTTTATCAGTAACTTTGGCACTGTTCAAAAGTTTGGGGTTAGTATGTTGTTGTTTTTTACGTTTTTGACAGTCTCTTCTGCTCGACAAGGCTGCATTTATTTGATCAAAAATACAGCAAAAAAAACTTTCATGTTGTGAAATATGAAATAACTCTTTTCTATTTTAATATAATTTCAAATGTTATTTATTTCTGTGATGCGATCCTTCAGAAATCATTCTAATATGCTGATTTGTGCTCAAGAAACATTTCTTATTAATAATAACTGTTGAAAACAGTTGGGCTGCATAATAGTTTGTAAAAACAGAGTTTTTTTGTTTTTCGGGATTTTTTTTTCTTTTTTTATTATTAATAGAAAGCTCAAAAGAACGGCATTTATTTGAAATAGGAATCTTTTTTAACATAATAAATGTCTTTAGTGTCCCTTTTAAATAATTAAATTTGTCCTTGGGGAATCATTCTTTTTTATTACACATTTACTTACTTTTTTATTTTATATATTTTTTTTATAGTTTAAATAGTTTAAATAATGTTTATTGCTATAAATATTAAATCAGTGTTTAAATGCACAAATTTTGTCCCAACTTTTAATAACAGGTTTGCAAAAATAGTAAATCTCAAATAAAATAAAGCACTGCATATAATAATACTAAATTTAGTTTGACCTCCTATAGTGTATAAACAACATTTTCCGAGAGTTCACTGAACATTTTTCGTTTGTCTTCAGAGTTTTAAGCTTCAAGTGCCTCCTGTTTCTCACTGTGTTTCTGTCTGAAGGAATATGAATGTTTTAAGCCTCAACTATTCAGTTTAATTCAGTTCAAGTCAATAACACTGTGTTGTTTTTCTTTCTCTGCAGGCGGTGGAGGAGTTGTTTAACCTGATGCAGTTGTTTGTGGCTCAGAGGCCTGATATGAGAGAAGAAGAGCTGGAGGACGTGAAGCAGTTCAAGAAGACCACCATCAGCTGTTACCTGCGCTGTCTGGATGGGCGCTCCTGCTGGACCACTCTCATCAGGTACACATACACTCTATTAAGTCTGGTTGAGTATTTTACAAGATTGAGCCGTTTTCATTCATACTAATCTCTTTGTGTACTCTCAGTGCCTTCCGTATACTGCTGGAGAACGATGAGGACAGACTGATGGTGGTGTTCAACAGAGGACTCATCCTCATGACGGAGGTATTCATACTCTCACTCACTCTTTTCATTCATCTTCATATTTTAATGGACTGTCGTATAGAATTAAACATTTCTCTGTCTGCAGTCCTTCAACACCCTGCACATGATGTACCATGAGGCCACTGCGTGTCACGTGACCGGTGATCTGGTGGAGCTGCTGTCTATTTTCCTGTCTGTTTTAAAGGCAATGCGGCCCTACTTACAGCGCAAAGGTAGTGCATAACCCATAATACACCACACACTTCACTGATGTTTATGATTACCCATAATGCATATTAAACAAATAACTCCAGGGTTCTTCATTACTTATGGACCATAGCATGCTATATAGAATCTCTGTTATCCATAATGCACCATACACAATACAGAATTATTCAGTTACCCGTAATACACCTACACTTGCAGTACAAGTACTCATTATGCATAATGCACCCTACCATGCAATGCAAAAGTTCTTTATTACCCATAATGCACCTGAATAATCAATACTAAAGTAACCCATTACCCATAATCCACCTAAGCTTGCAATGCAAAACTACTTGTTACCCATAATGCACCTTAATGTGCATTACAAAAGTACTCATTACCATTAAAGGGTTAGTTTACCCAAAGATTAAAATTAACCCATGATTTACTCACCCTTAAGGCATCCTAGGTGTACTTTCTTCTTTCAGACAAATCCAATTGGAGTTATATTAAAAAATGTCCTGGCTCTTCCAAGCCTTGTTCGACAGTCCAAAAGAAGTCTAATAAAGCGCATCCATAGAAAGTGCTTCACAAGGCTCCGGGGAGTGAATAAAGGCCTCCTGTAGCGAAAATCATTTTTGTAAGAAAATATCCATATTTAAAATTTTATGAACCGTAATCTCTAGCTTCTTGCTAACTGTTGTACGCGTAAGCCGTTCCGGGTGGATGATGTAGGACGTTGGTGTAGCATGCAGTACAAAAGAAAGTACTCATTACCCATAATTCACCTGAAAACTCAATACTAAAGTTCCCAATTTCCCATAATGCACCTTATGAATTACAAACGTACTTATTTACATAATAGACCTAAATGTGGAACACAAGTACTCCATTATCATTATTTAATATATCATGCAATGCAAAACTACTCAATTACCCATAATGCACCTTAACCCTTAAATGCATACCTCGGGTCTTTAGCAACCCGGGACATCATTCACTACCCTCTCCCTCCTTCATTTTTTTAAAGTTAGACATCAACTTTCTTAGTATTCCTCAATCTATCCATTATAAACAATAAAACAAAACAAAAAATAATAAAATATAAAAGAGTGCCTGTTTTCTGATTAATTTTGTGTAAAAAGTGTATAGGGTCGCTAGAGACCCGAGGTATGTAAATGTGTAAGTATTTTTTCCTGCACATCAGAAGTGCCCTTTTTCAAGAGGTATAAATACAGCAGACTAACCTCTATCCATCAACAGTTTATCAGCATCCCTCCACTGCCCCATCTCCTCACCCAAGGTATGTAAATGTGTAAGTTTTCCCTGCCCAACGATATTTACATACCTGATGACTCAATACGTGGATCCTTATTCCTCGAGGTGGCAATGTTTGATACACAATGATGACGTGATGCTTCTCTCATAATTACCGCAGGCATAAAACAAAAGAATATCATCAGCAAAAATGTAACCGGTTTGAATGGCTTTACTGCAGAGCAATTACTGTACGAAATGAAATATATATGTCACTGTGATGTGGTGAATAAGCTGCCAGTGATCAAAATATTTAATATGAAGTCATTGAAAACGATAGTTTTGAGAATATGTTTGAGATAGCGAATTTGAGCCAGATGCTGAATGTACTGTGGAAGTGCGCTCTGACGATGACAGCGATGGTAAAATCATCTGTTCACATTGAACCCTTTTAAGTTTCAAAAGGTAACGAAATATGCTTTATTTTATTCTTCTGTAATTGTTCTTAAAATATCAAGAGAGTTTTTTGCTATTGCAGCAGTTACAGATCCAACCGTGCGAGATATAGGTCCGGGTCGCTAAAGACCCGAATATGTAATAATGATTGGCAAAACATTCATGCATTTAAGGGTTAACAAGCATTGGAAAAGTACTCATTACCCATAATGCACCTAAAGAAGCAATGCAAAAGTACTCATTACCCATAAAGCACCTTAAGAAACAATGCAAAAGTACTCATTACCCATAATGCACCTTAACAAGGAATGCAAAAGTACTCATTACCCATAATGCACCTTAACAAGCATTGCAAAAGTACTCATTACACACAGTGCACCTTAAGCAATGCAAAAGTACTCATTACCCATAATGCACCTAAAGAAGCAATGAAAAAGTACTCATTACCCATGTTGCAACTTAAGAAGCAATGCAAAAGTACTCGTTACCCGTAAAGCACTTTAAGAAACAATGCAAAAGTACTCATTACCCATAATGCACCTTAACAAGCATTGAAAAAGTACTCATTACCCATAATGCACCTTAACAAGCATTGAAAAAGTACTCATTACCCATAATGCACCTTAACAAGCATTGAAAAAGTACTCATTACCCATAATGCACCTTAACAAGCATTGAAAAAGTACTCATTACCCATAATGCACCTTAACAAGCATTGAAAAAGTACTCATTACCCATAATGCACCTTAAGAAGCATTGAAAAAGTACTCATTACCCATAATGCACCTTAAGAAGCATTGAAAAAGTACTCATTAAGTAAAATACTATAAAAAGCACATGCTGCACACTCAAAAATCACAAGCGAGATGAAAGCAATGCAGGCAATTTACTGAAAAAAACAAGGCAACAAGGCAAACATTTCAGTCACATGTTGACCATTTTCAATGGCAAGCTAACAATGCTGGAACAGAAGCCGTCTTGATGCAATGCAGAAGTACTCATTACCCATAATACACCTTAATGTTCAGTACAAAAACACTCATTACCATAACGTTCCTAAAGAATCAGTACTGAAGTACCTAATTTCCCATAATGCACTTGTATGTGCATTGTAATCTCAATCACTGCTGATTTGTGTCCATCTGTAGATGTGAAGCAGGCGTTGATCCAGTGGCAGGAGAGGATTGATTTCGCTCATAAGCTGCTGACGCTGCTGAACTCTTACAGCCCACCAGAGCTGCGTAACACCTGTCTGGGTGAGTCTCCACATCCACCAAACAAACACACCACTCTTCAAATGAACCGAAGCAGCAGATGAATGTGATCTGAATGTTTATTCTCAGATGTGCTGAAGGAGCTGGTGCTCTTGAGTCCTCATGACTTCCTGCACACGCTCGTGCCCTTCCTGCAGCACAACCACTGCACCTACCACCACAGCAACATCCCCAGTGAGTCCCGCCGAAAGAGCATACTTACAGCACTGATCATCATCATCACGATCACCGTGATCTGTAACACTGTGTGTGTGTGTGTGTTTGCAGTGTCGTTTGGCCCGTATCTGCCCTGTAGAGAGAATATCAAGCTGATGGGCGGAAAGAACAACATTCGTCCTCCCAGACCGGAGCTCAACATGTGCCTGCTGCCCTCGATGGTGGAGACCAGTAAGGTGTGTACGAGACCGACGCATGATTCCTGTCGCACGCTGAGCTTTAGTTATTCATCGAGTGCGTTTTGTGTTTCCTGTAGGGTAAGGATGAGGTGTATGACAGGATGTTGTTGGACTACTTCCTGTCGTATCATCAGTTCATTCACCTGCTCTGCAGAGTTGCCATCAACTGTGAGAAGTTCACTGAGACTCTGGTGAAACTCAGTAAGGATGCTTCACTCTTGAAAGCTCTGTTTGACTATGTGTTTGTGTGTGTGTGTGTGTGTGTGTGTGTGTGTGTGTGTGT